AGCGTTATTTATTTTTTAAATCTCTTTTCAACTGGCAACCTTTTCGCTATCACCGTAGGTTGTTGCTGATATTGTCTGTCTGTCAGGCCTGGAGTATCTTGCCTAAACAACTATTAATAAATACCAATATATTTTGATGATAGTTATCACTCAGTCAGTCAGTTAAAACGCAGAACTTCGTACATAAGTATGTCAGGTCAGGTTGCCATACAACATCAGCACAGAGACGTAACTGTCAGTTCAAATCCAAGAGTAATAGTGATAGTAGAATTATTAGCAGCAATGGAGAAGATTAGGGAGCAAAGATATGATTCGAAAAGTATAATTCAGTGAGATAAATTTAAAAGGAGAAAGAGAGAGATTATGAGGAATTCAGAAGGTTAGAATTAGAGAGAACACAAAGAGTGGATGCGCCTGGGCCATTGCAAACGATTCTGAGCCATGTCGTTCAAGGTCTCTAACCATTGGTGACTTTCGTCTCGCGGACCCCAACCAGGTAACCTACATCAGTTGACATGACTCAGTTCACTTGTCAGTAACTTCATGGATTTCTGCCATGTTTTGGTTTGGCCGCCCCTAACATTCTTCCAACCTACTCCTACACCACAAAACATATCTCGATGAGGCAGTCGGCGGTCGGGAATTCGTTACACATGTCCTGATGATAGTTATAGTAGTTCTCCAAACTTCAGCTCCATACAATAAAACTGTTTTGACGTTTGTATAGAATATTTTGACTTTGATGTTGTCTGGCGGTGGTTCTGAGTTCCAGATGTTCTTCAATTATGAAATATATATGGTGGACTGTATAAAATGTTTCATTTGTATTAGGCACACAGATGGTTAAATAAAAAAATTTCGAAAAATTCAATTTCAATTTTTTTAAAATATATTTTAGAAATGCTATCCAAGCATTAAAAAAAACGGTAAAATTCAATCCAAATATATTTTCATGTTAAAAAAAAAAGTATTTCACATCGAAAATTTTAAGTCAGCGCTGTAAAGTTGCTTGCATAATATTTTATTTTAAAGAGTGTAAGCTTTTTTTTAATTTTCTTCTTGTTTTTCAGTTGATAATTTTTATCAAGTCATTAAAAAAAAAAGAAGATTACAAGGGAAGTAGAGACGTGGAAAATTCATTTGTTGTATAATCAAAAACCAATTTTGATTTTAAAATATTTTAATTAGGGGTAGTAGAAAGATGAATTGGGAATCAATTCATTGAATTAACAATCAACTTATGATTAAAAACCTCTAACAAACCATAAGCATTTACCTATAAACATATTGCACTTTGTTCATTGATTTAAATAAATAGACCACACTGATGTCAATGATTAAGATTTTTTTTTCATAACCAAATAGTTTACTATCATGTAGATGAAATGATCAGTAGCATTTCTAGATTATATTTTTAATCAGAAAACTATATTATTCAGCTAACATGAGTTTAAATTGAAAGTATTATTTAATGAATTAAATAGTTTACAAATTGCTTGAAACATTATTTCATATAAATAAATGGAAGAACAGTTGAACCAACAAAATAAATGGTTGCCAAAATGATTCAGTGTTAGTATGGTTAGAAATCAATGTATTAAGTGTATTCGGCTTACGTGCATAGAATAGTAAGATAACACCATACGTATTTCACAACAAGCTTTTAAATGAAAAATAATCATTATATTTACATAAAAAGCAAATCATTCAAGTTCTACCTATGAAAAAATTCTATATTCTTAGGTAGCTTTGTATACAATGCTCATTGGTTATTATCAGACATGTTATTGTCATGCTCGTGTAGAACTTATTTTCATAGATTACACTTTGTTGTAATTTTTGCCTATTGAATTAATAAGTTTATCATTGCTAATTAGTATACACTTAAAAACATACTTGGTATGTTGTAAAGCTATGTAAATGTATTCTTAAATACTTATCCATACCTGTATTCGAAAAAAAACTTAGTGGGTACAGAACTACTTCCTTTTTGGACGTATATTTTTGGATGTTTGTAATATTCTGTGATTTTAATTTATTTATTTTAGAGTTGAATACACAAATACAGTAATAATTATAGTCAGTCAGTTAGTGACTTATAAGTTTGAATCATTTTATTATATCCGTGTTTAAAATATTGACCGAAATATTATTGCGATTCATGTCAGTGATTCAGACATCAGAAATTATTTCGGTACATAATGATTCATTCCTCAATAGCAGTTGTGCAAAATGTTATTTGTACTATGAATCAGTACTTTTGATGTGATTATTTGAAGTTCCACAGAAGTGACTCAGTATTTTTGAATATACTTCTATGATCCATTCGTGTACTCATCGAAACTAGATACTAGTCTTCAAATTTATTACTTTTAAACGTACATTACTGTGTATCATGCCATTTAGCATAGCAACTGCCCAATAATCTGTCATTATCCTAGTTATTTTAAAGTTTAACTACTAGTTTTTCCCAATTCTTCTAAATTACAACAAATCAAATCACTTTAAAATGTTTCAAGTACTTGGGTGTTCATTTTACAAAACAAACAATTCTATTATCATTGACTTAACTTGAAATATGTAATGAAGATAAATCATATTTTACAATCATTTTCTAGGTTTTTCTTTTTCTTTTTTTTTGAAGAGGAAAAAAAAATCTGAAATCAATAATAACGTTTTCTTTCTATTTTGCGTAAAATTTTGGACATAACAGTCTGTCTAACTGAACACACGAAACATGGTTATTTGTATATGTATATATATATATATATATACATATATATATATATATATAAACCTTAGTTTCGTAAGTTCATTTAGTCAGGCCTTCATATAATTGTTATTGACTGATTTTTTTTTTAAAAAAAATTTAAAACATGGAAAACAACTGAAACAATAAATAGATAAATGAATGAACAAAAGCAAATGATTTACTTGTTCCACATTAATAGATCAGAACAGTTCAAAAGTCATGTTATATACATACTACACGTTGTTGCATACATTTGAATAAAAGGATAATAATCAATTATTCAAAAATTATAGCAGACCGGTAAATAAAAGATAATATTAAGACGTTTCCTATAATCAGATCTTTTGATAAATTCATACAGTGTAGAAGCAATAAAATTTGCAGAATAAAATGAGTCCAATCTATTTCACTGTTTCTCATCAGCTATAAAGAGCCTAAAATTACATGGAGCAATATTAGCACACTAAGTTTAGTGTCATTTATATGAATTTTTTAGAAGAAAACGAAAATCATAATCGGAAGAATAGGAACAATATTTTCCAATGAATATACTTGAAATTGAACGAGCATTTATATGTTGAACACACAATAATAGGAGTTGTGATGATGTTGTCGATGGATAGACATGATTTCACTTTATTTCTTGTGCTTCAAGTTATTCTTTTCTGTGCCTATTTTTTTAAAATGTAATAATGGTAATTGACTGGTTTTTTCCTGTCAGTGAACACATTGGATTTTAATATTACGAGTAACAGACTGCATATGAATGAATATATATATACAAAAATTATCACTCAACCTATAATGCCTACATTCTGCTGCATCACCATGTTTCATTATGTTTTACAAATTATGCACTAATTTTTTTTTTCAGTTTCTAATTATTTTTGGACAACTGTCCTTTTTTCACTAATAGTTATTTTTATTATGATGATGAATAGTACAACTTAATATAGTTGAAATTATTCCTTCCAATCGTATGTTATTTGTAGAGAAAAATTTATGACAGTACAACGCAATATATTGTCTATATGTAGTAATAAGATGTTGATAAACTGGAGAATGCTTGATGCAGTTTATACAATTATTATATGTATCCATATCTACCTACAGATTAATATTACAAATGATCATGAATTACCATTACTGTTTCATAAATTGACACTCACAAATATTTGCATAAATCTATGACAGTCTATAATTTATTCTGTATTACTTGAAAAAAAAAAGATTATTATTGACATTTTACTTTTGAAAGATATGAATATAATAATTTGCAGAATTTTATAGACATAAATGACAACATTTTTAAAAAATGTCTGCAGTTAATTTGAACTATGTTTTTGTACTTTTATCGTGTATCTTTTCTAAATTGAAAGTGTGATTATTTTTTCATTGAAAAAAAAGTATATCTTCAAATTTCTACCTTAGTTTAATTAAGATAGTGTTTGAGAAAACCAGACAGAATGGAATAGTGTCCTTTTTCATTATTCAAAGAGACATTGTAATGATGATGATCACTCAAACGGATTGATCTGCCAATGGTAATCATACATACAAACAATTTTATTGATTTCTTTCAAGTTAATCTTTCCCTGACTTGTATGTACAGTGTATAAACTATAGATTTTATAGATGGACTGTATTTTAATCTGGTTAACGATATTGATAGTCATTTTGGTTTCATTTAAATAGTTAAACAATTCGAAATTTCACCTTTTGAATCATATCAATTGTATTAATGTGTCAAAAAAAATTAATTTCCACTAGAATGACTTGAAATTTGTAGAAAATATAAAAATTTTAAATTATGTAAATTTATTTGACATTTGATTGCAAAGTTTTTACGATGAACAGTTTAAATTTAATAGTTAATTAAGCAATGTAGCAATTGAATGATTTCCTATTTATTATATTGACTTTCATCTAATGCTAAATTATTCTATAGATAGAGATATTAAGAATGACATTTGAAATCATGGATCGATCAATGTTAGACCACCATTAGGAACCTGGAAGCACTGAACGGTCATTTCGTCCTGGTGCGCATCCATGACTCCGGCACCTCCCAGGATACGAACCCATGACCTTCAGTCTTGCGCCACGAACGCCCCACCTCTGTAGCACCGAGCATATTGTTTATTTTCTATTGTATACAGTTTTTAATTCTTTTTAATATAACCACTAACAATAAAAATCTGTTTTTAAAATAGTCATTTTGTTCTTGATACTTCTTTTTTATACATAGAATGATTGCGATGAAACAACAGAAACATCAGATATAGAAAGTGATGCTGACTCTGATGAATCCAGCACATGCCAAACATCACATTCTAGTCGTAAACTTGTCAATAGTAATGCGGAAAAATTGAATAAAACAAAAATGAACTTGATAAATAATTATAATCAAACATATAATGCTACTTCGAGTTATACAAATAAAAGAAATTTAAATCCATTTGTATGTCGACGTTCTGGTGCTTCAGGCGTAGGAAGTTTATTGATTTTTCAATTTCATGCAGCATTATCTGATGATGGTAAAGCATTAGTGAATATGGTCACGAACTGTTTAGCTGATTTGCCTAGTCGAACACAAACACCATTACATTCACCAAATAAACAAACACCAATTCATACAGCATCATCATTAAATGATTCGATTGATGAGATGATCATTAATCATTCAGTGACAGGAATAACCACATCCAAACCATCATCAACATCAACATCATTATCAGGTAATAATAAAAAGAAATGGACTGGAAGAAAATTTGTCAATGAAAATTTCACTTATACAAGTGAGAATAATTCTAATATTAGTAATGATCACAGTGTAAAAAATGGTAAGAACATTTTCTTAATTTTTGTTATTTCCTGTTATTGTTTATGGATTTTTTTAATGAACATATATCACTTATGTCTAGCGAACAATTTAAAAAATTAGTTAGTTCCTGTTTACATGTTTATACTACTGGAAATAATAATGAACAATTCTGAATGGCTTATCACTAAAAAAAAGTACAACGTGGTATAACTGGAACATTTGAGGCTTTGGCAAAGCTGAGAAATATTCTAAAATGTTTTAATCTGATTATCTTGTGTTAAGAATTCATTTTAAAGAAGTACTTACACTGAATAGTTCGAATTCAAAGTCACTAACTGAAATCAATAAGTAAAGTTTCGTCAGAGTAAAGAAAAAAAAGCTCCAAACATGCTACAAAAATAATTCGAAATTTCATTATCAGATTGATAAAATTTGCTAGGCAAATGTTTTTCAGAGATAAATAAGATTTCCAGCATTCGGCAGTCTTAATGCTTGAAAATACCGATAAATCTAAGTATTTTTAGTTGTTAATTACTGAGACAAATTTTTTAACATATTCAGGACAATCGATCTGAAACTATATGTTCATAAAATACTCAAAAATTACGGACTGAACATATGAAAATTCATAAAAAATAATCTTGTTTCCATTTTACTAAATTGATCACTTTGAAAGTACTACAGTACAGTACTGTTATGGTTAACATAAAACGACGCTTGAAAATTTACGATAAGTTTTTGGATGTTTAGTTTCATACAAGTAAATTCACTTGACTGCAAAACATGTTCGTCAGAAGTTCATTGCATAATCAATCTCGATAATCATTAACATTGTCTTCTGAAGTTGATTTGTATAAAAACTGGTTTGTGTTTAACAACATATATTGATTTCTCTTATTCCTATCAGATCCTCAAAAAACATTTTTGAACAAGTAAAAATTTAAAGGAATAGGCATTATTTTTAGAGATGTCTATCTACGCATGAAATTGTTGGATAAGTTAATTACTAAAATAATTAAAAAATTTTCTTTACAACAAATTCTTTCGTTAGTCCCCTTATCGATCGAAATACTGGGCTTGTGCACTTATAGGCAAGTATATTCTAATAGAGCATATGAGGTCCTAGTACGCAGACACACATTTAGTCGTCTGACTTTTCAGGAAATGAAATTCTACTAGGATACTTGCTTAGGAACTTATAGTATGCCGACGACATAATTCTACTTGGTGAAAATGCTGAAAAATTGCAGAGTTTTCTGACCACCCTAAGCAACAATGCAAGCATGTTCGGGATGCTGTTTTTACCCGCGAAACGCAAGGTAGTGCTTCAAGGTGGGCTTGTATCGGTACCTGAACAAGTGATAGGAAGTGAAGCGATTGAGTGTGTTCATCGCTTAATTTATCTTGGGATTCTCATTAGTGCTGATGGCCTGGTGAGTGATGAAATCACAAAACGGATACAAAAAGCTCGATTTGCTTTTGTCAACTTGCGTCACTTATAGCGTAGGCGAGACATCCGTTTGCTAACCAAAGGACGGGTGTACTGCGCAGTGGTTCGCTCCATCCTACTATATGGCTGTGAAACATGGCCAGTGAGAGTAGAAGATATTCGTAGGTTACTTGTTTTCGATCACACGTGTCTCCAAAGCATTGCTTGTGTATCATGGGACAAGTGAATAAGCAATGCCGTTGTTAGGAAACGGGTACTAGATAAGTATAGCAGATCAATAGATGAAGTAGTGAGTTTTAATCAGTTGAGGTAGTTGGGACATGTGTTACGTATGCCTAACCACCTAATTCCTCGTCGAGCTTTGTTTTGCCATGAAGAAATAGGTTGGAAGAAAGCTGAGGGCGACCAAACCAAAACATGGCACAAGTCCATGAAGTTACTGACAAGTGGACTGAATCATGTTGGTAGGTATCAACTACCTGGTTTGAGCCTGCGAGATGATAGTAATCAATGGTTAGAGACTTTGAATGACATGGCTCAAAATCGTTTGCAATGGCGCAGGTGCATTTATTCTTTATGCTCTCTCAAAACCTAATCCTCTGGATTCTTCATCACCTTCATTTTTTTAAAGTTTATTTAACTAGAATATAATTCTTGAGTAATTTCTTCGAATCCTAATCTCTCCGATTACTGATAATACCTTTACTACCTCTACTACTATTGGATTTGAGTTGACAGTTATATATCTGTGCTAATGTGGTATGGTAAAATGAACTGATATACGTACGTACGAAGTTCTACGTCGTTACTGACTGACTGAATATATCCTGTTACTTCACCATGCATATCGTTTGTGCTTTTTTTATAAGGTCTTCCATTGGTTTTTAATAATTTCAACCCTGTATTGCTCATGAATTAGAGCGGCTCTTCAATGTTTAAAATATCCAACTACTAAGTTCACTAGTTTGAACTTATCTTACCAACTTCATTTAGTAAACCGTGTAGTATCACCAGTCCTAAAAATTAGAATATGATCTGAAGTTAAGTACTTAAAGCAGTTTTTGGTAATTGAGTTAATAAATAAAGTTTTATATAAAGAAGAGGATGAAGATTATCAGAAGTATGTAACACATCAACGTAAACATACTTGTTAAAAACATTAGTATATTAAAAATTAAAGGTAAATCAGACAAACAGAAGCTGAAAGGAAACAGATGTATTTGACAATAGAAGATGGATATTTATCATTTATTATGATTAGGTCATTTGATTTTATTTGTTTCTCTTACCATTTCGATACATGTTTAAACAATGTCTTTAGATAATTAAAAGGGCTAATTATTTTAAATAAATTTCATGTGAATCGATGCTGATAATAAATCGTCTAACGCTGCTGCTTATTTGTTTGTATGAGTATATAATGTTTATGACTGGAAATAATCTTTATTGGTTATTCAAAAGTATAATGTGCTCGTGACCTTGAGAGACCTATCAGTCAGTTAGGAATCACTGTCTTGTTATGAAACAACTGGTTACTTAAAGTAATGAAATAGCAATAAGCTGATAGTTTCGATCTGAATACTACACTCCAAATATCGATTTATTCCTTGTGATGAACGAAGTTGGGTTAATGTTACGAGTAAGGGCTATCACTCCATAAAGTTTTCGTTATTAACTGACACCAGCTATAATGCGAATGATTATAGTTAGGTAACAAGCGTTAAGATGTAGTTCTGAGTCCGGTTTGTAAGTTAAAGTTAGGAATTTCATCAGCTATGATTCAATGCTTTGTCATACTTCTGTTCAAAAAGTTATGTTTGAAAATTAGAGAAAGACTTAGAGTGAGAGAATGTCATTTAGCTTCACCAAATGTCCTTGAATGTTCATAAAATCAGCATATTATACTTAGACAGTTAGAAATAATCTGAGAGATACTCATCAATGAACTTTAAATTTAGTGCAAAATACATGAGGCTCTATCTTGATTCGTATTAGTTAACTCAGGGTTATCGATTTAATAAACTTTTACTATTTAAGCTAGTATGCTGAAATGTGCATAGATTTTAAAAGACGATCAAGCATACATGCTCATAAGAACAAAAAGATATATACACTTAGTTACTGATTAAATGATACTTTGTAAAATGAGTTAACCAAAATTAACGTATACAAGCTCAAGCGTAGCTATAGTAAGGATGCAAATAAACTTAATAGATTAGATAAAAATTTAAATATTACTTATTATATACAACAGTGTTCTACAGCCATCAGAGTACAAAATGGCCAAAGAGCTATAAAGAAACGATTACTTAAGAGACAAACACCGATCATAAACAAAAATCCAAATCAACGTGAACATGATTAATTCTTATTCATTCAAATCATTTTACCAATCGTAATTCTCTCCTTCATTTTAAACCCAATACTGTGTGTTGTGTGAAAATAAATGACGATAATGAGTTATTGATTACCTCGCGATACTTACATGCCTGCCTATTACTCCTGCTTAGGCATAGACTGCCTACCAACCATCTCCAACCTATTCTGTCCAGTCCCTTCTCTTAGGTGTCTTTTTTTCATACAACTTGAATTTTCTTCATTTTTCAGATGTAACGTTTTCATTACAATATCATATGATTTTTACTTTTTGATAAATATGATCTTATTATTAATGAATGATGTTTCAACTGTAGCGTGTCATTCACCTAGCATGATATTTAGTTTACTTTTTGGTATATATATATATATATATATATATATATATATATATATATATATATGAATGTATATAGACGGATAGATAGACAGATAGATAGATAGATAGATAGATAATTACGATGAATTTTTCGGGATCACTTTCTAAATTTACAATTATTTTTTGTTTTTTGTTTTATTGCACTCTTTTTTTATTGATGATGCTTGAAAATGTTCATTAGTCGAGAGGATATTTCAAAGAATCAAACACTTCAATTCCTATTTCCTCTCTTTTTTAATGTATACTACAATTTTTTTTCATTTAGAGTTATGGAGATTAGTGTTCTTTTATACATTGAAAATTTGTTTCTTCTTTAAAATACACTCTTGATTTTCCAAACATTTTTTTTTCGATAAACAGCTCGTAAAATAGCAATCAAAAACAAATCTACCTCATTTTTTCTTGCTTAAATTTTTAATTCCACATTTTCTCTTGCACAATCAGTAATTTGTGTTTTTTATAATCGATAATTTTCCCATAAACAGATTTCTCTGAAGAAATTAAAAGGAACATCTAAAAGAATATGACCACTGTCTGATGGTTTTTTCCCAAACTTTCTAATACGGTAGAACATAACTTTCTTCGGGAATCAAATCCTAACACCTTAATTTCATGATAAAGCTAAAGTCTACAATCTCTGGATAGTTATAATTTAGACGTGGATGTAAAAATTGAAACTTCAAAAGGACGAATAGTTGAGGTGGGGTTTTAAAATAAATAACAGTATATTTTACCGTTTAGTAGAAGATTAATTTAACTGCCTAATAAATTTACTGTTTTCTATCCTCTTTAAACTTTCTAATCATAAATGTAT